CAAGGGGGCTCCATCCTCCATTATGGCTTTTCCTTTCCCTTTCGGGCTGGTCAGTGATAAGGCGGGCGCGGGCCTGGGCCTAAACAACTTTAACCTAGCACCCGCCACTGGGTCCTTCCACTTGGATCCGTCTAATTCTGCTATCATATATGCACCCTAGTCGAGTGCCTCAACCACTCTGTAAGGTCTCATCCATCTGTTGGCGAGTTTTCCGGTCTGGGTTCTTTCCAGCGCTGCATCGTAGAGAAGGACCATATCTCCTACACTCACCCTCCCCTTCCTGATCCGCACGTTCTTATCCCATCTTTCTTTACCCTTGTCCCTTTCCACTGTCAGACGATCTGTCACTGTCATGAGGTTATCTTTCAAACCGTAGGCTATCTGTCTTGTTCGGGCAGCTATGAGTTCCTCTCTGGACATCTCCTCCGCCCAGTCGACGGTTGTCCAACTGTCGACGTGAAACTCTATGGGAAGCGGACAATGCCGCCCAAACCATAAGGTGTATGGAGGATATCCCGTGCTAGCCCGGACCGTGACGTTGTCCGCCCAAATTGCGTATCGAAAATATCGTGGTCAATCACTGTCCTTACCTCTGCACCACTTGGATAGCGACGCTATCAGGGTCTGGTGTCCTCTCTCTACTGGGGAGTTCGACTGCGGGTGGTAGGCAATAGCTATCGAAACTCTCGCTCCAGCTCTCTTGAACACACTCTGAACCTCGTCAGCTAGGAATTCTGCCCCTCTGTCCATCACTATCTTGCTGACATAACCATACCTAGATAAGTACTCTAGGACGAAGTTCTTCACTTCCTTTGCCGTCTTACTCCTGATAGGCCTACCGTCCACAAACCCCATGAAGCCGTCTCGTATGTTCACGACATAGTTCATATTGTCGACCCCTTTCGGCATCTTCACCAGATCGATGTGTACCTTTTCTCCTGGTCTGGTTGGATAGGATGGATGAAGTGCCTTTTTGTATTTCACAAGAGCTCTCTTTTGGCATTCTTCGCAGGTCATACAGTACCTCTCGACGTCCTTATATTGTCCTTCCCACCAGTACAACCTGCGTACCTTTTCGTACGTTCCTTTGACTCCCCTGTGTCCTCCGACTACCCCGTCGTGAAGCTCCGCAACTATTGTCTGTCTCTCCTCAGGGTTACAGACTACTCGTAAGGGCATTCCCGAGCCGCCCGGCCTCCGAAACAGATGGCCAGCTCTAAGGCAGTACTGGGCCGCTTGTCTCCGGATATCTGATTCTTGACTCTCCTTTCCTGACAAATGTAACCTGATCATTCGGT